ATATCCCTCCACCTCTACAAAAACATTTTAAAACAAAGTTTCCGTATGCTTAGGAATCTAGATCTATAAAATACTTAGGTATCAATATACCGGCCTTGAGATCCCCCCAGGTTCATGACCTTAATTTTAAACCATTGCTTAACTCTTTAAAGCACAAGAACTCAGTCCATGATATGCTTACAGTAGGTAGGCTAGCGACATTTAGGGTGCTTATTCTGCCCAAATTATTATATCTCTTCTGGATGCTTCCTGTGCTAATCCCCAAGTCTTTTTTTTGAAGGTCAAACAATTCTCACTAACTACTGATGGAATTATAAAATACCTAGATGTGCTTTGATTATATTGTCTAAACTGAAAAGGGCTTGAGGTAATTTATACTCCTACCACCAAGCGGCTCTCCTTGACCAAATAAAATGTTGGTGGACTAACAAAACAGATAGATTTTGGTCACATATGGAGATGTCACAATGGTGTTGCTCTAACATGAAAACGTTTCTACTAGTAATCAAGAAGGGAGCAAAACTCCCTGCAGTTGATTCCCCTACTATTCAAGCCATGATAAAGGCCTGGCAACAGGTAGACCTAACCCCCCTCTTTTATGCTTCTCTTTAATCTATATTATAGTCTATGGACTTCTAGATTTTTTCATTTCACCTATACACTAAGAAACTTAGAACTGTTGGGATTTATGACAATGAGATGTTGCTTTCATTTCAGAAACTTGCTCATAACTCACTCACTCACTCAGCTCACTTACTACCTGAAAATGCTTATAAACACATGCAAATTCATCATCTCTTAACACTCTTGACCACAGGAGACTTCACCCCTCAACATAAACTCACTTATTTCTACTTTTTTGGATTATCCAAATTCCCAAAGGAAGTGTAACTCACTTTTTTTACATCTCAAAATAGATCTTTTTTTTGTCAAGAATCATACTATGAGGAAGTGGAACAAGAAATGGATGAAACGTTTACTATTTTTCAATGGATGCATGTTTCCCTGAGCTCCTGGCTCAATTTCCACTGTTCAAATCAGGAGGAATTAGCTCAAAAAATGATCTATAGATGTATACTATCCTGTATAAACTATCTTGTTTCTCCCCAATGTTTTATCTAGCTGTTGGAGACAATGTGGGGATATAAAATCCCTTATTCATATTCTCTGGGTTTATAGATCACTGACTTTGTACTGGAACTCACTGTTTGTATTAATCTCAGAAATAGTTGGTTATAAGGTGCTCCCTACAGAGGAATTGGCGCTATTGCATATTGTCATTGATGGTTTCTGTATAGACTATAGGACTGTGGTGACTTGTCCCTTTAGCAGCTAAGGCGAATATCACTAGATGTTGGAAATCTACCTTCCCACCAGAGACTCGCCACTGTCTTAATACCTGTTACCTTATGGAAAGGATGGTGGTTCTAAAGAATGGGACTTGATCCACTTTCCAAGTATCGTGAAGGGCATGTATCGAACACCTCAAATGTGAAGCAGTGTAAATTTAGGGCCACCTGCTATTTTTCTGTCTATTGTCGACCATACTTGAAAATAGGAATGAATGTATTGTTGATATTCCCCATTTCCTTTCCCTGTCACTGCATGAAACCTGTGGACAATTTGTTCAATACGTTCATGTACTGATATTTTTTATGAAGCTTATTAACTCGACTGGTCATGTGGTATCACTGTCCAATTGTACTTCTGTCTACCATGCTGTATTGGTTCCTTACTATGCCCTTTAATCAGGGCCGGCCTTAGGCCTTTAGGCGCCCTGTGCGAGAAAACTTTACAGCGCCCCTCGGTGACCACACGCTTTAGTGGCCACACCCCCGTAACCACACCCATTTTCCCAATATCCGCACCATTTAAAGACTCCTATTTTGTTAAGCTGCAAAGAAACATATTAAAAAGTATGATAAAAGTAAAACTTTTATTCAAAGGTATTAAACTTGTAGGCACAATATAAGTATTCTTATCAAATAAAACAGAAGGTAAACAATAAATGTCAAACTAAAATAGAGTCTATAAAAATAAAGTGTCAGGTTGTCATGCCGATCCCTTTTTTCAAGTAAGTGCATCTAGAAAAGTAAAAATAGAAAACAGAACACAAAACCCAGACTACTTGTAAAATTAATGAATTACTATATGTCGGAATCTACGAAAAATATATTCAGGCGCATAATAATTTGTTTGAGAATGTGCGGCGGTCATGTTGGCCAACGGCGTGTTCTGTGAATGCGTGCCACCATCTTGGAGGCAGGGAGCATGACGTTACATGATGTCATGCATGCGTGGCGTCAGGTGACGTCACACGCTTCAGTTTGTGAATGGGGAGGAGGAGCCTTTGTGAGTTCTTCTCCCCATTGAGGAAATCTTGAATGAACAGGCTGTGATGTAACTCACAGCCTGTTCATTCATAACTAGGGACAAATAGTACTACGTGTCCCCAGTTATTTACAAACACTGGAGTGATCAGACGATCGCTCCAGTGTTTGTCCTTCTCACACGGAGGATCGGTAAATATCAACGATATTTACCGATCCCTGCTCTGCTACGCACAGAGCCGCTGTCATTCTGAAACCGACAGGATGACAGCGGCTCCTATCTCCTACCCGCTCGGCCATCCTGACAGCTGTGGGCGCGGCTTCTCTCCCCCTCACCGCTCCGCCATCCTGACAGCAGGCAGCGCTCCCTCCTGCGGATGAGGGAGCACTGTCATATCGGATGGCCACTGGTGAGGGGGAGAGAAGCCGCCTCCAGGATGAGCTGTGTCGGATGCAGGGCGCCCTTGTTGCCATGGCACCCTCACAGCTCGCACACCCCGAAGGCCGGCCCTGCCTTTAAAGGAGAACTATGAGGTGAGTGCTTTTCATTCACCTCATAGTTCTAGCCGAACTGTGACAATGAGACTGTCACAGGTCGGCTCAGTAGATCGAGAGGTGAGCGAACACATACCGGCATTCGCTCACCTCTTGATCCTGTCACGGCTCTCTGCCGTGACAGGGGAGGGGCTGGATTCCCCCCTATCCTCTCCGATCCGCTAGCGCTGACTGGCGGATCGGACGGGGAAGGGGGCGGGTACAGCTGGCTCTGCCTCTAGATAGGCAGAGCCAGCTGTCAGTCACGCAGCTGGGCGGATCCCGGCATCCCAGCACATGATGCGCCAAGGTATTCCTAGTCAATATGTACTCAGAGGGGCAACCTGAGAAAGTTACCAGAATGTACATCAAATAAATTTGAGATCTTTGACTTGAAAAGATATGCAACAGAATATATACCTGTTTTGGTCCTGTAGAGATTTTCAGTAGAACTGCTAATAGATACATTTGTGAAAGAATAAGACTACGTTGTCACCTGTGCAATAAGTCCATCTGTGAAATTTACTTGCTACTAAATATTCCTCGGTCAACTGTTAGTGGTATTATAACAAAGTGGAAACAACAGGGATCAACAGCAACTCAGCCACGAAGTGGTAGACAACGTAAAATGACAGAGTGGGGTCAGCGCATGCTGAAGAGCACAGTGCGCAGAAGTCGCCAATTGTCTGCAGAGTCAGTAGCTACAGAACTCCAAACTTCATGTGGCCTTCAGATTGGCACAACAACAGTGCATAGAGAGCTTCATGGAATGGGTTTCCATGGCTGAGCAGCTACATCTAAGCCTCACATCACCAAGCGCAATGCAAAGCGTCGGATGCAGTGGTGTAAAGCACGCAGCCACTGGACTCTAGAGAAGTGGAGACGTGTTCTCTGCAGTGACGAATCACGCTTCTCTATCTGGCAATCCGATGGACGTGTCTGGGTTTGGCGGTTGCCAGGAGAATGGTACTTGCCTGACTGCATTGTGCCAATGTAAAGTTTGGAGAAGGGGGGATTATGGTGTGGGGTGGTTTTTCAGGGGTTGGGCTTGGCCCCTTAGTTCCAGTGAGGAGAACTCTTAAGGCATCAGCATACCAAGATATTTTGGACAATTTCATGCTCCCAGCTTTGTGGAAACAGTTTGGGGATGGCTCCTTCCTGTTCCAACCTGACTGTGCACCAGTGCACAAAGCAAGGTCCATAAAGACATGGATGAGCGAGTTTGGGATGGAGGAACTTGATTGGCCTGCACAGAGTCCTGACCTCAACCCGATAGAACACCTTTAGATTTAATAAGAGCAAAGGCTGCGAGCCTGGCCTTCACGTCCAACATTAGTACCTGAAATCACAAATGCGCTTCTGGAAGAATGGTCAAACATTCCCATAGACACACTCCTAAACCTTGTGGACAGCCTTCCCAGAAAAGTTGAAGCTGTTATAGCTGCAAAGGGTGGGCCAACTCAATATTGAACCCTACGGGCTAAGACTGCGATACCATTAAAGTTCTTGTGCTTGTAAAGGCAGGCGCCCCAATACTTTTGGCAATAAAGTGTCTATTTAGAGAAAATGCACAAACCATCTGAGGTCAGCTCCTTTAAAACCATGTACTGACAAATGGACGTAAAACTTATTTCAGACCATGCTCTCATTATTATGAAGTGAAGGAAAAGTCTATAGATATTATGCAAATAATGCTGCGCAGCTCCATGTACAATTTCAGCATATGACGGGATGAATGAACATCATTCCAGCACAACTAATCAATTGGCCAAAGATATTGAACATGGAAGAAAACTGGGAAAAAATGTTGGCGCCGTCAAGACGTCGCATCACTGGAGGGGAGGTGAGTATAGTTCCACTTTTATGTAGGGCCTCTACACCCAATTTTGTTTTTTTGGTTTATTTCCTTTCACATGTTTTATTATATGGTATGGGTAGGCATTCGTGGAGGAGTGCAAGGATCAGAAGTAAGTAGTGCAGAGTTCAGAGGTTAGAGATATGTAACAGAGAGTGCAGGGTGTACCAGTAAATAACACAAAATGCAGGAGTCAGCAACACAGAGTGAAGGGGTCAGTAGTAGGCAGTGCAGATTTCAAAGGTCAGTAGTAAATAACACTAAGTTCAGGGGTCAGTAGTAAGCAATGCAGAGGTCAATTGTAATGCAGAGTTGAGAGGTCAGTAATATGCAGAGTGCAGGGGTCAGGACTAAGTAATGTCAGGTCAGGACTAAGTAATGCAGAGAACAGAGATCATTAGTAAGTAATGCGGAGTTCAGAGTCAACAGTAAGATACACTGGGTGCAGGAGTCAGTAGTAAGTAATGCAGAGTTCAGAGGTTAGTAGTAGGTAATACAGAATGCAGGGGTCAGTTGTAAGTAACACAGAGCTCAGTGGTCAGTAGTAATCAACACAGAGTTCAGAGATAGTAGTAAGTAATGCAGAGTGAAGGGGTCAGTAGTAAGTAACATGAAGTGTTAGTAGTAGTAGTGCGGGGGATAGTAGTAAATGACGCATAATGTAGAGATCAGTAGTAACGCAGAGTTAAGGGGTCATTAGTAAATATTGCAGAGTTTAGCAGTAAATAAGGCAGAGTCCAGGGGTCACTACTAGAGCATACATCAGCCCCTCTCTTCCTTCCTGAGAGATACTGACAGATCTTAGACACAGTGGCACCCGGCAAAGTGAGGGAAGTTCCACCAGGACTCCCCTCAGCTGTGTCATATGACATGTCAGAGCCGAAGAGAAGCCTCAGCTCTGTATCTGCATTGCCACTCTGACATGAGATCCGAGAAGTTGTACAGTAATTATGCCAAAGAAATCAATTAGTAATAAATTACATAAGAGTTGCTTACTTCTCTGGGTTGTAACTTGAAAACGCTATCAATCCTCCAAAGCCCAGTGAAAGAGAGTAGAAAATCTGAGTTGCAGCATCCAGCCATACTTTTGGGTTTAATAAAATTTCCATCTACAGTTTAAACAAAAATAAAGATAATATTGACTGTTTTACTATACATATACTGTAAGAAAAGTATATAGTCTATTTACGTTGTAAAGTGTAAATATATGCTTTTACAGTTGCATTTGTTTCAATATGACCTAGCAATAAACTAGTGTGGAATGTTGTATTATAAGTTATCAGTTTAAAGTGGAACTCCAGGCACAGACATCTTCATAAAAAAGTTACCGCTGTTAAAGGGTGGAAAATGAATAACTAAATGTGCCGAGCTAAGACAATGATCAGATATAAAGAGTAAAAAAATTAAAAAACAGTGACTCAAACAAATATCAGTGAAAAAAAATCAATCAGGTGTAAAGTCTTTAAATCTTCATAAATCCGCGAAAGATGTCTATAGATGTCTATAGATCGATAAAGATTGAAGGCTATTGCTTTCCTATTTAAGAAGTGTTGCACAGATCTGTTTGCTGGTCTGATTAAACCATTGGAGGACATCTGTGAGCGATTGGAGCTGAGGGCCCCCTCCCCTGGTTAAGAAGGGAATTGCCTGGTTTGACCTCTTGCTGGGGTCTATCAATAAGGTGAGCACCCCTATATCTGGTGTGGTGCACGTGGTGCATTTGGTGAAGGTACAAGTAATATTCATCACTATTGCTATATTTGGACATCTTTCGCGGATTTATGAAGATTTAAAGACTTTACACCTGATTGATTTTTTTTCACTGATATTTGTTTGAGTCACTGTTTTTTAATTTTTTTACTCTTTATATCTGATCATTGTCTTAGCTCGGCACATTTAGTTATTCATTTTCCACGTATACACACTCACAGTGGGTGTACATTCCAGTGCCTTGTAGCTGTTAGCTTGCTTATTGGCGCAGTTCATTCTTTATATTGTATTATTAGCTGTTAAAGGGTGTTAAGCATGCAGAACACTTCTTTCATGTTTTTTTCATACATTGGTATATGCTAGCACTGTATTTCTGGCCACTGGAGCTATGAGAGCTGTGGCTCTAATACATGGTTAGGCGTCGTTCACATGAGCCGATCTGGCATTCCTATGGCAAGAACCTACGTATTCCTGCAGCAGGACTGCCAGTTGTCCCTGTTCAGATGCCGCCACCATGGCTGCCATCAGAAACTTTATTCTGCTCCACACCCTGACCGCCCTTTGGTAAAGCCCGCTACAGACCAAGCTCCGCCTCCTGAAATCCCCCTTCCTGCATGCACAGGAAGGTACCAAGTTACAGGGGGTGGGGGGACCAGGACTGTACCACGTGCTGTACCAACAGCAAAAACAGTGGTGGACCTAAGGGACAAACTGGCTCCCCAACCCCCCCAGCGGTCTCTGTACAGAGGAGCTTACACTCTCATGTCCCTCCATAGTCACACACTATTATTATTATTATACATTTATATAGCTCTGCCATATACCACAGTGCTGTACAGAGAACACCAAACCAGTCACATCAGTCTCTGTACAGAGGAGCTTACAACATAAAGCAAAAAGGAGTTTCAGAGGCAACGTCCCCTTCATCAGAACAAAGTGAGGGAACCTATCCCTTCTGATGAAGGGGACGTTCCTCTTGTAAACCCGTGGAATACTTGGGGGCAGAAGACTCTGGTTTAACATCAATACTCCAGCTCGTCTTTGTTCGTGATTTTTTTTACCCATCCTTGTTACATGCCTGTGTTCTACAGTTGTTTGTAAGTACAGCCTTAGCTGTGTGACTTCTTTTTATGAAATACTGTTTTACACTATGGAGGCGCTCCTTTTTGCTTTATGTTTTCCAGTTTGTCGGTTGCCCTGACAAGTGGGAGCTGCATCACTAGTGTTACTAGTTTGTGTGCATACAAGTCCCGGGTGCTGGCGCCAATTTTTTTGTTGCTTTTTCTCTATTTTTCCCAGAGGAACTTAAACTCTAATGCAGAATGGCACCGACTGTAGGGGGAATACAAATCCCAGCAAAACATTATACAGCACATCAGGACAGTATATGACTTGGACTCTTAGACTTAGTACCACACTGGGCTCTGGGCTTAGTAACACACTGGACTCTGGGCTTAGTAACGCACTGGACTTAGTAACGCACTGTATTCAAAACTTAGTAACGCACTGGACTCAGAACTTAGTAACGCACTGGTCTCAGGACCCACCTGAGACCCTGCAGAGCCTACCTGAGACCCCACACATACCTGAGACCCTACACAGTCCATCTGAAAGTGACCCTGCAGAGCACACCATAGATCCTGCACAGCCCATCTGAGACTCTCTATGGTGGGCTCTGCAGAGTCTCAGGTGTGCTGGTCGGGGTCCCTTTCCCTGCACCTCCCTCCCAGCAATTCTTACCTGCTGCTGGTGGGGTCCGGCCTCCTCCGCCGCCGGACCAGCGCTGCTGGCGACTGGCTGGAAGTGATGTCGTTGGAGATCGTCGTTGGAAATCAGAACACCAGCGGCCAGTGGCAGAACAAAGAGCCCTGGTGGAAGATTTTTTGGGGTTTTTTAGGGCTCTTACAATGCCCTTACTGGCTAACTGACCACCAGAAAGCCCGCACTGGCCATCTGAGAGCAGGAAAACAAGCTCCCACTGATTCAGCAATATGGTGACTTGTATAATTATTTCATTATCTATTACACTGTAATAATATTACAAATAAAGTGCACAATAAATGCAATCCCAAAACCATTCCCCCCCCTCACTCTCTGTGGAAAAGTATTTTCAGCTAAACCAATTCCTGATTCCGAAAAGGTTGTGGACCGCTGCTATAAAGGACTAAAACTCCCAGGAATACTTTATACAGCAATACAGAATGTCTTCGGCTAAAAAGGACTACAACTCCCAGCAATACTTTATACGGCAATGCAGAATGGCTTCGGCTATAGAGGACTACAATTCCCAAAAATATTTTACACGGTAATGCAGAATGACTTTAGCTATAGAGGACTACAACTCCCAGAAATACTTTATACAGCAATGCAGAATGACATTGGCTATAGAGGACTACAACGTCCAGCAAAACTTCATGCAGCAATGCGGAATGGCTTCGGCTACAGAGAACTACAACTCCCAGCAATATTTTATAAGGCAATGCAGAACAATTCCATCAGTTACAGAGGGCTACAAGCAATGTCACTTAAGGCACATACCTCGTTTGACTGTCCTCACGGTGGGAACACATGCAGCAGGGAGAGGTGAAGGGCTCTCTGTAATCAAGTGGGTGCTGCTCGTTCCTCCCGGCCGAGGACCCACCGCTGCCCAACAGTGTGCCTGCAGGCTGCTCTATTTTCACCTCCCACCTGGCTCTCTCCTCACCGCCCCCCACCATCGCTTGCCACTAACCCCCACCACCCCCCACCATCGCCACTATCTTTTAGCTGCTGGGGCCCAGCCTGGCCGCCTCCAGCTCCTCTCCTGTCACCTGTGAGGTCAGCTATGTAAGGGTCCCAGGCCCCCCAGGATGCCCAGGCCCCCCACATGAGTATCGACCTCCCCCCCCTGATGGTGGCCCTGGCCGCCACTGTACCCGTTCAAGTAAATGACCAGGTGACAGCGGGCCATCTCTAAGCGACAATTCGAATGTGATCGTAGATTATACAACTACATGCAGTATGGAATAGATCATTGTCGCTTGGATGCAGGATAGATGCGGCCAGCAACAGTGATCTATATCATATACAATTACATGTGCACTGCTGCTGAGAGATGCCGCTGCTGTCACCCTGTCATTTACTTCAGAGGGTCCAGTAGCTGCATCTGAATGGGACACCTGGGATTTCTGCTGCAGGAATCCCAGATTGGTCTCTGTGAACAAGGCCTTAGTATTGTTTATCTGCCCTCCCTCTCCCCTTAGCCATTCACAGAATGCTGTCTTCAAGGGGAGAGGAGAGGTGGATAAATGACACTACTTCTTCTGTGTATGAGACCAGCAGCTGTCATAGCCGCAGTGACTGGATGTAAAGTGCTAGCTGTAGTACCCAGCATAGAGGACTGGGATGGGGGGAAGGGGTGGAGGACCAGCTGCCCTATGAACAGTATGACAGTGTGATGGGGGCACCACTGTGACAGCACACCACCTTGCTGCTGCCACTTATTAACACAAAAGCCAACTGTCTTCCACTGCTTGCTTCCTTTGGTACTCTGCAATAGATGTGAATTGTCAGAGATGCATAGAAAGCGAGTAGTGGAGGACTGCTGGTACTTCTTGAGTGGCTGATAACTGATAACTGGCTGCGGCACCTACTGATGTTTGCTGAGCTGCCTGTACTGCTCAATCATATGCAAATACTGTGATTAAGCCACATGGTTTTCATATGAATGAGGTGCAGGATTTGTATTTAGATGAACTGTGGGCACAACGTTGCAGGGCAGTATGTGGTGAGGGGAAGGGTGGAACAGTGCCTCCTTAGGGCCTGTTCACACGACGTCCGTTTTCTGTGCTGACCTGATACATACGCTCCTGCACTAAAAATGCATCCCAATGTATCCCAATATGTTTTATGGGCTACAGTTCTCACGCAGGCCATATTCAAATGTATGAACTAAAAATTAAGGAAAAGTGATCTGTCGCGTTAACACCCTTCATCAGAGATTTAAACAAATTCTGTGCTTGAAGTTTTTCCTGTGCTGGTGGAAATTCTGACATTCTAAAATTATCTGTAGAATTGTATCTCTATGTACTTTTACTCCTTCATAAATATTACTTATGTACAAATGTCTGCTTTTTTAATTAGAAAGGAATGATAATAAAAAGTAGAGAGCAGACTAAACAGGAAAACAGAGAATGATTGAAGCATATACTGTACATGCAATCTTTGGTTGGCGGTCACACTTAGGGGTCTATTTATAAACAATCCTGGTGAAAATCTGTGAAAAATCCCTTTATGTGCATATATACCAAAAGGAAAAGTTTTTTTCTTCACAAGCTAAATGAATTTTCAAATGGTTTCATGTAATATCGCTTTATGGCCACTAGATGTAGCTAAAGGAGCACAGGAAATAAGTTTATTTTCAATGCTCCTAACAAAGTGGCCATATTGCAATATTACATGAAAAAACATTTATTCACAAAATGGTGAAGAGTTTGGAGAAGGCAGAAGAAGTGAACAATCTAGGCCAAGATAGCTGATTTGGAAAGATTCTCTAATTCAGCTCACTTTACAATTCAGCTATGTTGTCCTTGATTGTTCACTCATCCTACCTTCTCCAAACTCTTCACCCTTTTGTGAATAACCCTGTTAAAACTGCAAGAAACAATTATAGAGTAATCATTTTCACATAAAAACCATGCAGAATGAACATTCACAAATATTTGCAGGATCAACGACCCTGCCAATAGTTTATAAATAGACCCCTTCATGTTCAGGGGAAACAAAACCTCTGTACCCTTGATAGGTAATGTTAGAATGCTCAAAGCAATATGGAAGATCTACAGAAAATTCTCAAACAACTCATGTGGCAGAGACATGCAGTAATGGTCTGTATATCTCCGAGATAAAAGGAAAGTTGGTCTCTGGGATTTTATTGTCATTGTTAAAGAAGACTATGGTCTTAGGGCTTTTCTCCATAGTTCTCCTTAGGGTAACGGGAGGACACAAACTTGCGTCCTCCCAAGCTCGCGGTATACTGAGACGCCGCAGCTGAAGCGGATCCCGACAATTATGTCGGGATCCGCCCAGCTGCGTGAGTGACAGCTGGCTCAGCCTATCTGGAGGCAGAGCCAGCTGTACCCGCCCCCTGCCTCGTCCATTCCGCCAGTCAGCACTGGAGGATCGGAGCGGGGAGGGGGGAATCCAGCCTCACCTCATAGTTCTCCTTTAAGGCTCATGTCAACAGGTGTTCTTACCAAACCCAAATTACACTTTGAAGAGTTATTTCAGCACTAGGACCTGTTGGTATTCCCAACTCATTATGCTGTTTATAAATGAAATACTTACATCTGGAGTAAAAAGATACCTCAGTCCATCAATTGCACCAGGTAATGTTAAACCACGAATGAGAAATATTGTTAGAACAATGTAAGGGAATGTAGCAGTAATGTATACTGCCTGTAAAAAAAACCATAAATGTATGCATTAATAAAATTGGGGAATATACAGTACATGATACAGTATCAGTGGCGTAACAACCGGGGGGGCAACAGGGGCGCGGGCCCCGGGCGAAGAGTGAACGGGGGGCGCCGGCCAAAAATGGCACTTTCGGCTAAATGCCGAAAGTGACATTTTCCTGCCGTTTTGTCGGCGCGGCCGTGATTCCTTTCATCCCCGCTGGGACACAGAGCAGTGCCCAGCAGGGATGAAAGGAATCAGAGAGAAAATGACAGCCGGCCGAGCGCTGCGGGACGAGCACTGTGAGCGGCCGGTGTCTTTCCTCCCACACCGCTCGGCCGCCTATCACAGTGCAG